CCCTGAAGAGGATGAAGAGTGGAAAGTCAGTTGGTCCTGATGACATACCAGTGGAAGTATGGAAGTGCTTAGGAGAAGTGGCGGTAGATTTCCTGACTAGGTTGTTTAACAGAATTTTAGAGACGGACCAGATGCCTGATGAGTGGAGGAAAAGTGTTCTGGTGCCAATTTATAAGAATGGTGATGTACAGAGGGGATAAAGTTGATGAGCCATACAATGAAGATTTAGGAAAGAGTAGCGTCCTTGAGGCAGGAAGTGGAGATTTGTGAACAACAATATGGTTTCATGCCTTGGAAGAGTACCACAGATGCAATACTTGCCTTGAGGATGCTGATGGAGAAGTACAGAGAAGGTCAGAAGGAGCTACATTGTGTATTTGTAGATTTAGATAAGGCATATGACAAAGTGCCAAGGGAGGAATTGTGGTTTTGTATGAGGAAGTCAGGAGTGGAGAAGTATGTTAGTTTGGTGCAGGACATGTATGAGAATAGTACAACAGTGGTGAGGTGTGCTGTTGGAAGGACAGAAGACTTCAAGGTGGAGGTGGGACTACATCAAGGATGGGCCCTGAGCCCCTTCTTGTTTGCTTTGGTGATGGACAGATTGACAGATGAGGTCAGACAGGAGTCCCCATGGACTATGTTATTTGCAGATGACATTGTGATCTGTAGTGAGAGTAGGCAGCAGCTAGAAGAGGACCTAGAGAGGTGGAGGTTTGCACTAGAAAGAAGAGGAATGAAGGTCAGTCGTAGCAAGACAGAGTACATGTGTGTAAATGAAAAGGAGAACAGTGAAATAGTGAGGTTACAAGGAGCAGAGGTGGTGAAGGTGCAGGAGTTCAGGTACTTAGGATCAACTGTTCAGAGCAGCGGAGACTGTGGAAGAGAGGTGAAGAATAGAGTAAAGGCAGGATGGAAGAGCTGGAGAAAAGTGTCAGGAGTGATCTGTGACAGAAGAGTGTCAGCTGAGGTGAAGGGAAAGGTTTACAGGACGGTGGTGAGACCAGCCATGATGTATGGTTTAGAGACGGTAGCAATAGGCAGAAGACAGGAGGTGGAGCTGGAGGTGGCAGGGTTAAAGATGCTAAGATTCTCTTTAGGAGTGATAAGAATGAACAGGATCAGGAATGAGGTCATTAGAGGAACAACACAGACAGTAAGGTTTGGAGAAAAGGCTAGAGAAGCCAGATTGAGATCGTTTGGACATGTGCAGAGGAGGGACAGTGGATACATTGGTAGAAGAATGTTAGAGATGGAGCTACCAGGTAGGAGACAAAGAGGAGATATATGGATGCAGTGAAAAAGGGACAAAGCCGAAAGAAAAAGAAGACAGTAGTCCCTCGAGATACAAGCTACTCAAAATATTAGTTTTCAAAGTTACAAGTAAACAACTTTTGCGTGATTTTTTTTTTTTTTTTTTTAGGAAACATCGAGTTACGAGTGCATAACCAAGCTTAATTTTTCCACTCCTGTTGCTTCATTTCTCTCTTTTGATCAAGAAACGAGCGGATCGACATACGAATGCTGTTGTGGAACCATTGTATTCTACTGGGACGTTCACTGAGGAAGTATATGTTTTGTAAATATTGGCTATATACACAACTTGACTCAATGTAACATTACTTCACTTGACCTGACCCGACCCAACTTACTGGATTTTAACTGACATGGCGTGGTGATGTGATGTGACCTGACACGACTGTAATTTGATGTGACGTGAGTTAAACTGACTTGACTTCAACTCCACTCCAATCAACTCGCTCATTTTACCTGACTTGACTTTGGCCATAGTCTACCTGATTGACTCAACCAAATTTGACTTGAATTGGCTTAACTTTGTGTGACATGAAATGCTGTGCTGGACGTGACGGAATGACTAAGCTGGACATGACTTGGTTCTACTGTACCTGATTTGACTTTACTCTACTTTACCTCATTTACAATGAATAACTTGACTTGATTTAACTTGACACAACACGACTTGACTGAATTTTTTCTGACTTGGCGTAATGTGACTCAATGTAACATGACAAGATGATTTGGCTAACCTCACCTCGACTTGACCTCATTTTATTGGACTCGACTTGACATTGAACCTCAATTGACTTCATTTACCTTTATCTGATGTAACGTGATGTGATGACGCTACTCAACTTGACACTACATTCTTTAATCAACTTCACTCTACTTGACGACCCTGACCATAGTTTACCTGATTGACTTAACCTAATTTGACTTGAATTGACTTAACTTTATGTGACCTGACATGCTGTGCTGGACATGACAGGATGACGAAACTTGACATGACTCTTGGCTTTACTGTACTTGAATTAAATTGACCATATTTTAACAAATTTTCCACGAATGACTTGACTTAATGTGACTTGACTGACTTCACTTTATGTGACTTGACACGACTGGACTGAATTTCTTCTGACTTGGCATGATGTGACCTGATTTAATATGACAAGATGTTTTGACTAAACTCAACTCGACTTGAGTCGTTTGACGTGACTTGATTTGACTTTACTTGACTAATAGCAAAAACATTTTAATTTTGTTATTACAAGATAACAAGATAAGCAGTGGATTATAAAAAATTGATAAAGATTATACAAATTGTAAGCAGCTGTTTATTTATGGTATGGTCATAATTGTTTTTTGTTGCTCATATTTCTCTGTCTTTTAGTCTGGACGGCTCCCAAACACAGGCTACTTTGTTTGAGTCAAAGGTCTACGTGTGTTTGAAGTAGCAGGGAGTGTGCTGAACGGTCATGAAAAGCAGAAATAAAATTGTTAAGACCTGTCAGTTTAGAATACGGATCAGTAAGTAAAGGCAGAGATTCCCAAGTTAACTGTGACATAGATACATACAGCAGTCTTGTTTAAAACAGGTGACGTGGAAGAGCCCTATACTGTGGGACAGTGGTTCTTAATTATTTGGTCATGCCACCTGTAAGGGACAGAAATTTTACATCGCGCAAGCATTACAGCAGTGACATGCTTTTGTCCAGTGTGCATTGGGGTGC